GCGAAAACCTGCAATTCGAAATGCCGCCAAACGAAAAATTTCAGACTGATCGGCGTCCTATCAGGTTTCAAAGTGCTTCTTCTGCTCTCGCTGGTTGTTTTCCATCTACTTCTCTGCTTTGATGTCCTATAAACAACTTTCACTTTTATGGGGGGGGGGGGAGGGGGTAGCTATTCAAAGAACTTTTACTTTTGCCCCTGTCTCTACAGTCCGTGTCAACCATGTGCTCCCTTTTCCGTAAATGCAGTGAGCTTCGCGCCACGTTCGCGCGCGTATGACTAGGGCATTTAAATGGGCCTTATCGATTGAAGGTCTGCATGCGGGACCCTTGCGTTGCGCATGCGTAGTTCCCATGCGAAAGGGAGTACGTAATTGACATCGACTGTAGGCTATCGAAGATATGCTCTAGTAGCAAGTCTATGACGACATGCTGTAATACAGGAACGAATGTACTGCCCGAAACGGTTTTTAGATGCGAACGAGACGAATTATTGTCATTCTAACGATAAGACATTGCACTTTACTACAAAGATATATCCAGAATGTTCACAATTAACAACATGCTGTCTTAATCTGGAATCAACGTAAAGCTTAGGGAATTTGATACGTTGCGACTGTGACGTCAGCTTGGAAAAGGACTCAGGGTATATGTTATTTGAATGAAGAAGAAGAATACAGAAAACTTCGTTTTGCTCAAATATGCGTGGCGGATGATCACGGAGTACAGAGAACTGTTGAGGACAATATTCAAGGTTGGGGAGCAAAGATTGATATCAGTATAATTAAACGTTTCATTGACACTTTGTAAGAGACAATGCTATTCTAGGCTCTTACATGACAATGAGGTACATTAAATAGAGCAGCCGAAATCTAAGGAGTCGGGTATAAGCGGTGTTGCGCAAGTTATGCTGAACGTCATACAAAAGAGAGGCGTTCCCGAAGCGCTGTCCCTGAAAACCAAAATGCTGTTTTCTGCGTCAGGATGGTAATATGCCCACCAATGGAGGCCTTGATGAATGTGTAAAAGAAAACACAGATTCTTCTTTGCACTTCAGTTGTATTGACCATTCGTCAGTGGAGCACAAGATATGAAGTTGTGTCGACGCTGCAGTTATTGCTGAAAAACTATGCCCTAGCAAAAAACGGACAACCAACACACACACATCATTGGAAGTGGGGATACGCAATAAGTGTGGAACAGTCTTCACGTACAATCGCATGCACTTATTATATAGTATTAGGTTGTAACAGAATTAATGCAGGTTTTCTGAAATCTTGCGTTTGGATCATTATAACTTTTTACACAAATAATCTTTTCGTGTGCAACAAGAATTGTTGTTATCAGCAAACCTCTTTGAAATCAATTTGCATTATTATGTTATTGTAGCTTCACTGAGAAAAACCTGATAGCCCGAATTTTGCCAAGAATTTTTTTGGATAACCTTCACTTTGAGAAACCATAACTTACTAACAAATGTGGTGAGGTAGCGCAAATATAACTCACTGCGTAACCTATGGTCTGTTGTGCAGCATCGCTAAATTCGGAATTGAAAAAGAATTCTTTGCAAAAGGATATTTGAAAAAATTTGAAAGTACTCATTTTTTCGACTTTTCTGAGTATATAGAAAATCGCTTTTCTGGAACTTTTGAATTTTTTAAAGCTGAATAAGGAGAACGGCTCCCGATTTTCTCAGCCATAAATGTCCAAATTCTATCCCTTCTATATATAGCGGAAGCTCCGCAGTCGCTTAGCGTTGAGAATTTTTATATAGGGCAGACGGACCACAACGACGCTGAACTTTGCTCTCAAATTTCTCGGCTCAGATATTTTCATAAATCATGATTCAACATGCATTTTGTAACATAGCTCACTCGAAAATACTGTGCAAATTTGCAGCGAGTTCCTATTCTTTTTGGTGGTTTGAGAGCCAGGTATATCAAAAGGAAGAATTTCAAGATTTGGTTTCATACATTCATGGGCTTAGAACTCCTAGACAAATTCACTTCTACTGAAACGAAAGAATGCATCAGAAATTAGAGAAAAGAGCTTCCAAATGATACGCAAAACTCTCAGGAAAAACACCTTCCCAATCTAAACCAGCATTTTGAAAAAGGTGCGCGAAAAACCTGCATTAATTCTGTTACAACCTAATAGAAGTAGTCAAGTAGCGAGCATGGCGTGCAATAAGCCACCAATGACTCGACGATCCCTAGAATGTGAGTAAGTGTAAGATATATAGGACATTCCGTATCTCGAGTCACTCCAGCGGCATGCACCTGACACGCAACCTTTGTCTCTTAAAAAGTACAGGCAAATCTGTCTCCAAACAAGCTCAGATTCTGAAACGCAACAAATTCGAATTGCTTACCAACAGTATCGTGGTTGACCACATAATCCAGCAGATGTGTCTGCAGTCTCCTCTGATTTCACCTCAGTATTGCAAACACTGCTAAGATTTCTTCGATACTTTGTCTTTTTCTATTCGAAAGTGGCGTGATAATGCGCAGTTCAGCAATCTGTGCCAGAGGAAAGTCGGTTGTGGTCGTGTTACATATTCCGCTTTGCATCTGAAATATACATGACTGTGGTCCATGACCGCTGATATGAAGATTCATGGAAAAACGTCAAGTTGATTGATTAAAAGGGATTGAACTCAGTGGCCGTATTCATCAACGAACCCTCAAGGTTAAAACCCGCCTTAGCTAGCATGGCTTATAACCCGTTCTCACAACATAATCGCAAGGAACTTTCCTTATGGGTTCAGTCTATTGGTAGAAACCAACCTCAAAATGCGAAACCCGTATTCATCGATCTACGGCAGGCACCCCTTCAATAATGGCGACTGCACTTAACATAGAAATTGATCGCTAACAAGTTACCACATGTTCATTCGATAGGTACCAAATGTGCAGTCGCCGAAAACTTGCGATCACCAGCCGCCATTGTTGGCGGTCGCCAATTGCCAATGTTGGCGACCCCACATTGGATGCGTATCGAATGCACATGTAGTAACTTGCAAGCGATCAATACTTATGAAAAACATAGTCGCCAATATTGGCGACTGGCGATAGTCAATATCAACGCGATCGATCGCGAGTCGTAGCGACTAGTGATCGCTCGCTGCTGTGCCATACTCCTGGAGTAGTGTAACGCCTGCCTACGTTCTTTGCTAAATTTGGAAATAAGTGAAAAATTGTCCAACTCGACTAGTTTCGGCGTAAAGCTGCTGGTTACCTCATGTTATGAGAACCTAGTCGGCATTGTGGTCTCAACCAAGTAGATACCACCGTGGTGTCCTCCAAATCTCATTTTTGTGTGATTTCTGGTTTTGAACCTCACCTTCGCACATGCATGCCGAAGCGGCACTTTTCTTCAGCCAACGCGAAGTGAAGTCCCACATTGTTGCATTCCTAATGTCAGCGCTTTGAAAGGCTTCCTATTCATACACAAACAAACACCAAACGTACATATCCATCAATTCAAAAAAAAAATTTGGCAGTTCATTCGTAGGAGAGAGTGTTCCATAGGAAATGCTACGGATTCTTGAAAAAAATCTATTTTCTGACATTTTGTCGTGCTGTTTTTGCTTTGCAACGAGTATGATCGTTCTCCAGGGATGCTTACTCCTATCATACCCGGACTTGCACAAAAGAAAGATATCGAGAACATTTGAAAAATTATAATAACAGGCTAAGAATGTTTACGTGACTTTGTGTGTGTGTGAGTGTGTCTGTTACGAAATTCGTAGAGCGTGTTCCAGCCAACCTCCTGGGCTCAAATTTTGCACAATGCATGCTACCCGCATGAAAGTCCAACATGCAAAAGTACGAGCAGATTCGTTGAGTGGACCCTCAGAAGCTGCGCGTCAAGCGGATCCACTTTGCATTTGGGCCGCAAAATTGGGTCCGTAATTCCACTTTTTGTAGAGTCGTGAATGTTTATGCCAAGTAAATGTGCAAGCCGTTAACTTAGGCCCAAAAAAGTGGTCAAATGTCCATTACTTTACAAAAACGGCGCCAAAAAGTATTGGTTGCTCAAATGGTCAATTTGTCAAGGTTTTACCAGAGCTTTTGACGAGATTTTTGCACAAAGATGTAGCTCACGGTGACTGCTGTTCTTATTGCAAGTGTCAAGACCACGGGAAAATCAAAAACCTATAAAAATTTGCGTTTGTTTTCCTGCAAAAAGTCTCATCCACGTTTAGTCGCCGATTTCACTTAAAAAAGGTTTCGGAATGAGTAGTTGTTTACATTTTGTTCGTGATAGTCGGCATTGCTCGGTGAGTTCCAATGCCATCATTGTGCGAGAATGAGTAGGGCCTAGATAGTGGAGCCAGTGCGAGCCTCTGCGAAGCAGAGGTGACGCACTGGTTTGAAAAATTGCAATATGTGAAAGTTGTTTTTTTTTCAGTCAAGATCTAAGATAATGCGTACCTCTGACTCAAGCGCTGCTAAATAGTCTCGCCCCAAAATGCGTCAAATCAAACAAACGTAATAGAAACCATACTGTCAACAGTTCGCAAAGAGAACGAATGTGTGAACTAAAGCCTGACATTTTCAAATGTATTCAATAAAATCATGCACAATGTTAATAGCCATCCAAAGAGAATTGTTTGAAAATGAACTGTTAGCTGGAGCTATGGGCTTTTCTTTGTATTCACACTTCAGGTGAAAAAACCTGTCAGTTCCAGTCTCTGAACTTGTCGGAAGCTGCTGTCGCTTAGCATGATCAAAGATTTCCCATGAACAAAGGTATCGAAGCAGGTGATTACACCATTGCTTCCTTTATAGCTGGAATGTGAGATCCGCGGACCATGAGATTTCAGAAAAAAGATGCTCCACAGTTCAAGAGAGGGCCAGTGCAGGACTTTTTAAGCGCCATCTATTATACATCAGACCATACTACCGGAAGAATCTCTTTTGTTCAAAACCTGCAACGTTAGCACAATGTTTTGGTACATCAAGAATTTTTATTGAACCTTTTGACAACAGTTGTTTTTGAAAGTGATTGAAATGCACACAGCAAAAAACCTGATCACAGATGAGACGACAATTAGAATATTTACAAAGCGATTAATTAGAAAGTAGAAATCACAGAGGAAGAATTTGGAAAGAAACTTGCTGTAAATTCATTAAGAGTTCATATCTTACGTGGAATACTTATCGAAAAATCGATTTTGTTGAGTCAGAAATAGAAAGATGTGAGAGTAAGCAAAGTGGTTTTCAACAATTTTAGATGAACTCAACAATCATTATCTGAGAAGTGCATGAGTGAAAATGATCGAATGAGGCACTTCGTGATGAATACCTAACGATAACATGTGATAGTCTAAGATGCAACGACAAAAATAAATATACATGAAGGAAGCTTTTGCTTAAATTATAGAAAACCTCTTCCTATTTTGATTATGCCCTTCAACCAGTCACAAGTGGTCAAGAAATTTAGCAACCTTATCGAACAGATCAGGAGTCCGAATATTACAATCAACAAAAGTGACAATTATCTACCCCTTTCCTCTGGCAATCCACCCTACTCAATCAAACTTTCAGAACCACGTAATTATTGTTCCTAGTGTAAGCAATGCTGAACGGATGAATGACGCTTGGATCTTTTTGTGTCACAGCAACGTTGTAGAGATCACAGTTCGAAACCCGATTGATGTTTTCCTTGTCTTCTTCGTCCCACATCCCTCGATAAGCACAATATGGCCTGAAACGGAACGTAAACGCTTCCTTAAAACCATTGAGCATACGGACTTAGTCTGGTTTAGTGACTGCTGCGAATAAAATTGAGCTTTGAAGAACCCCGAACTGGTACATAGTAAAACTATCACACTCCTTTCTTTCTCCCAATCTTTCTGGCGTCGCTTAACAGCCTATTTCGTCCAAAAGTGTACGTGTACTTAATTCAAATATTTTTCGATTGTAAACTAGATTAAAATGAACTTGAAAAGAAGGAGGAAAGCATCGTGCCTCTCTCGAATTTCCAGTTTTGTACACCTGCAAAAAATTTGCAAAGCAATTCAAAAATTTTCTTGCCCCGCGACAGATCTTGATCCTCAAAAAATTTAAAAAAGGCTAATACAATCTGAAGCACTCCATTCGGTGTGAAAGCTTATTATATCCGTGAAGTAACAGCTAAACCAGTACCTGTTCGGCTCAGGAGCACAGTTGAATAGCTGGAAGACCACGTAGTTTACACCCATCTTCTTCAGAGTCTGGTGAACCTCTCGCAATGGTTTCTTACTGAACACCGAGTATACCTTCTTCGTCCGGTCCCTGCAAGATTGCGAAATGCACATGCCGGTAATGATGGAGATCTAGGGATTACAGCACCTGATGCCAACATCTTCATAGTGAGGGTGATTTACAATAGGACGCAAAGTGGATAATTTGACATTTGCCATAACAGGCATAGTTCCAGCAAACACATCATCCGGCTTGGTACGCCGCACAATCCAATCAAAGAGCATCTCCTGCTCCGGATTGCTGTACTCCCCTTTGATTCGCAGCTGTTTTTCAATGTTCGATTTTCCTGGAACATGGATGTTACTTAGAGGCAGAAGATTTAGCACAAATTTATAAATCGGGATACATAGTAGGTGTACAGTATTATACCTTCATAGGCCATCGCAGCTATAACCGCCACAATGAGAACAGCGTGGATGCGTTTGTCAATTCGGATGTTGATGGATCTGAAGATCTGAAATTTCGCTTCCTGTACGTGATGACACTATTTCTTCAACAAAGTGGGAAAGATGGAAGTTTGTTTTATATGTATTTAATTCTTTGGTTGGATAAAACTAGATCAATCGAAGTAATCAATAGTCATTCTCAGTGATTTTAGCAATGAAACCGTCCCATAGCCGACAGTTTCGCTAAGTGATTGCTACAATGTCAGAAAAATTTTTTTTAAATTAGAATAAATTATCTCTTAACATAATACTTGAATTGATGCTTGAAATTTCTCAAAATGAAAACCTCTCACAAAGCGGAAATAGAAATAAAATGATGCGCAAGATCAGAATGAAATCACTCAATCTAAACTCACTTGTTATAAAGACCTCTAAAAGCTATTTTTTGACTATAGTAAGATCATTTCAGCAAAGAAAGTGGATATACGATTTCGAATGACTGGTCAAGGTTCCTAAAATCGTTTAAAGGCACCGCCCACCCAGATTCACGACTTCCATGCTTTGGTCGTTACGGGGCCTTGTTATGTCCCTGATTCTGAATATGAAGTCGAATCCGCGAAAACCCCAACAATCCCCAATTCGGAGAACCTGCAGGCCGGTTTTCCGGAACGGTGATTGGAGTGCCCATGAGTGGCGGGCATGGATGGGGAGGGCGGTGCCGTCTGAGGGTCCTCGCGCATCTTCGTTATTCCAGAGCGATTTTCTCGCTTCCGAAGCGGCATTTTGCGCTGCGACTTGGGCATTGGCTTGATAGGGACCCCTAATATCATATGCTGCCAAAAGCTTAAGATCCTCAACTTAGGATGGACGGTGTCTTTAATGGCTGCTTGTTGTCGGATGATGTGTGGGATCATATGATGACTGGACAACCCTTGAGCCGAAATCAGAAACAGCACAGAAAAAAGTTCACTTAAGGGCCCACCGGCGTTGCAAATTATTTTCATAAGCCATTCAAAAGACATAAAATTCAATTCAAAGCATATTGTGGATATAGAGGTTTGCCATAGCACGCTGACGAAAAATTGCTTTTATGTTTTGTGAGACGTTAATCTCAAGGAAGGATTGATATTCTATTTTTTATGCATATCGGCATTAGTGGCTATGAGATTTCTGCACCATGGCCTAGAACACTGGGTAGATCTGAAAATGCATTCACCTCATTGTTGGCAAGAATAGCACAGCAAATGCATAGATGTGGGGTCATGAACAGTTTCAATCGCATAATCAACAAAGCCATTACAGCGTAACAAAAACATTGAACGACATTGTAGAACACCTAAAAACGTGATTTTCACTCCAAATTTAAGCAAGCAATTGGCTGTTCCACACTGTAAAAACAAATATAAGTAAGTGCGAGCATTGCTTTGTTTTTCGCATAAAGACACAAATCACACGCAACTAACCTCTGCGTGATCTTTCTCTCTCTCGTTATCCCTCCATAACATGGTGCTCCTTTCGGTGAAGAAGAAATAGATGATGAACGTTAATACACCCAACGACGCGCAAGGGATAAGCCAAGTGTCACATAACTTTTGAAGGGTCTAAACAAAAAAAATGTCTAGCATCTATCTCTTCATGATATTAGATTACTCACCTCAAACGCAATAAAATCGAATTCAGCGGAGCAAGTGTAAAGACGTGTGTGAAAAGTAGCGTAATTGGAAAATTTGGACCGCAGAAGATCAAATATGTGGGCCTGAAATGAAGCCGGCGGCTTTCTTCCTTCATGAGTAGAAAACAAAGGTGAGCAGTTTTGAGGAGGTGGCCTGATAACGAATGTCAAAGATTTGCCCAAAACTGTAAGGGATAGCTCATTGAGCTCAACAGGCTTTTCTCTACACCTTGTTAAAACCAATCAATAATTTCACAAAATTCAAAGTCGAGTCATAAAAATTCGACTATATCAAAAAATCTGAAAGGTGACTGCGCAAGAGTCATACCACGTATAGGATTGGGAAAAACCTGGAAAACTCCCTAAAATTCCAATGAGAGAGTCTAAAGCTATATTCGTCCATCGAAAAAATTTCGCAGTAGTTCTTCGCCAAAATTTATTGAATAGCCATTCAAAATTGCAATAGTTCTGTATCTCTGCCAATATTATCAACAGCTCAGTACATACTATAACTTAAGAATAAAACTCACATCATCCTCAATTTGAAGCAGCCGCGCAATACCGAATTTGATTGCAACTGTAGCGGAGACAAAAGATGATGCCGTTAGAATGACATACAAAGGCCGGAAAGAGAGCTTGTTCAAGATCGGATCCAAGTAGACCAGCAGCTGTAACAACATTTGGAAATCAATGGTTCGTTCATGATTCTTCTACAAAGCAGACAATCTAGAGTCATGATCATTTTTTGAGTTCTACGCTCTAGCCTTTTGGTTTGACAAAACATAAAACATTCAAAGAGAGTGGTATGCAAGCTCTTATCAATTCATGCATTTCAGTAAGCTGATTATGTTCGATATTTCAAAGATACTTACTAAGGCAGCTATGATGCTAGCGAGGTAAAGAGACGTAAGTAACATTTCGTTACCAAATAATAAAATGAATGCTGAGACAAAGGCAGCCTGAAACATTATATTTGGACTTGCGCACACAGCTTTTTCAATTACAAATAATTCAATTCTTGACTTACAAAGTGAGCAGTTAGTAAAATTCTCATAGTAGTTGGCGAAATGAAGTCCAAGGTGTACACAACAAAGAGTGAACCGACTTGTGTAAAGAACGCAAATTGTGAGAATTGCCAGAATAGCATTGCCAGCATACCGAGAAAGGCCATACCAAATGCATAAATTGCTCCAGCGTGTTGGTTTCTGAATATTGTGCTTATTACCTCGTTTTGATCTTACCAAACAGGGAAAGATACTTGGTGACCCCGGCCATTCATGATGGTTTGTATATCAAGAATGCGCCTTTTAATGCTGGTTAGGATACTGTTTTCCATATTTGCGAACGAGAACCTGGATGGAGTTATGATTATTTTTTTACGAAAAAAAACTCATAACTGCCTTCATATGATTGTTCCGCAGATTTCGAGCGCAAGTTTAGAATCAGCGTTTTGAGATGCATCTTATGGTATACATCGCATTCCAAATGGCCGGAGTGCCAAGTATCCTCTTCTTGTAAGATAGAAATAATGATTTCCTTTACAAAATAACTTTTAGTTCTGCAACTGTTCAATCCGCATACTCTCATATATTCAAAAGAAATTCGGATATCCTCATGAAAAATGTATTGCGTATCATCAAGGGAGAAAAATCATGGTAGTTTTTGGCTAACACCCCGATGCCCAGGTGCATGGATCGCCAGCACATACCTCAATCCTGCGATAACATCATTTGATAGTATCGAAAAACTCACTTCAAAATGTAGGTAACCAAAGCAATCTGTGCTACAATCACGGGAAATGCGAACGATTCTCGTAGCGGGGGCGTCCACTGAACCCGAGTGGCTTCACCATGGTTGAAGGCAAAGGCAAGTACGGAAATGAGGCCTCCAAATATTGTGTCGCTGTAAAATACACATTAGTCACTGGAAATTTAGTTGGCCTTTGCAATGAATATAAATGTCATTGCCTATAAGAATAATGCTTACATATACAGAATTTACAGTGCCATAATGAGCCTAAGTGCTCTACTGCTACTTGCGGACTGCACCGTTATAGAGATGGCACAATTAAAAGAACAGACAAAGTTGTGCTAAAGAAATTCTACATAGCTGATGGTTGATAAATTCATCCGCTGGAACTTCTGCGCGCATCTTATCATGAACCTTCACTTCAAAAATGTTCAAAGAATGCATACATTGACGATAGCTGCAGGCATGTTCCTAGAATTTTTCCACATATAGGCAGGAATTCGGCTTTCTGTTGATCGCCTCTAGGTGAAGACTCGTCGCACATTCCGAGTGGCTATTGGCTAATGGGCTCCGACATTCATGATTTCCCACATAAGGAAAACTCTAATCTAACAATGGTCAGAAGTCGAAGTGACCAAAACAAACAAGCTGTATACCATTCGATGCAGTATAAAACGCTGACTTCGAATCTGTCTTTCTTATCTGCTTCCCGCTTCTGTGAACGAAGCTACAAGCCATTAAAGACCATTATTTTGCTAAGAAATTACGCGTGAAATTGAAAATTTAGCCGTGCAGAGCCACGTTCGCCTTAATGCTGGGCCAAAACATGCAGCTAGCCTACTTCAAATTTTTAAAGAAAGAAGCTGAGCTAAAAATGCAACAGTGTGCTCAATTTCGCTGTTTTTATGTGTGATTTTTGCACAATAAAGCCGCTTGTAGCTTCGTCCACAGAAGCGGGAACAGATAAGAAACACAGATTCGAAGTCAGCGTTTTATACTGCATCGAATGGTATACAACTTGTTTGGTTTGGCCACTTCAACTTTTGACCATTCCCTTGTAAGAGATCTTGACAATCGGCTAATCCGAAAGTTGTTTTGAAGTGACTTGTTCCTTTTTCAGTTTTTTTTTGGAAAAAATGAGCTGGCATGCAACAGCAAAGAGCATTATGTCACGGAAAAATTCATCTACCATTTTTTAGGTCATTAAAACTCAAATTGTAACTTTTCACTTACTCTAAACCAACTGCACCTTGCGATAAGGACACAATCAGTACAGCCTAAGACTGTGTCAACATTTATAATAAACCATGGAACAAAAAGTTTGGATTTCACCAAATATTTACATCAGGCTTACGAAGAAATGATTGAGTTATAAAGTTGATCTTATTTCTTGAGAAGGTAAACTTTACAAATCCCCACAGACGACGAGAACAAACGCTGGATGCTAAAGGCAAAGAAATTCATGAACATTTCAATTACCTGACAAGTATGCCCAGCACAAAAATCCATCCTGCTGTGGTGCCGGCCAATGCAAACACATGGTCGATGTAAAAATAGTGCGGATTGCCTATACCTAAAAAGCAAGTCGAATAGAATTTGCTTTCTGCTTGAAAGTTAGAATTTGTGCTTACAGTAGAAGAATAGATACTTCGTCATGGGAACGTTAGCGTTTGTTATAAGATTTGTCAGAACATTATGGCTAGGATCAGCATACCTCATTGAGTAGGAAGAAGTATGTAATTAACAAAAGACAAACTTTTTTCAAATATTTTCTCGTGCGAAAAATTCTCAAATCGATGTGACAACGACGCGTCTCCTCCTTAGGGGTAGTGGCTCTGATAGCCTCATAAGTTTTGCTCCCAATTTTACTCGCATTGTCTAAATGTCTGTGCTTTGGTTTGGTAGATTCAATGTCCGCCGAATCTGTCCTGAGTTCTTATACGAAAAAGTGATGTTCAAGCCATTCTCAAACGTCAGCTCATGTAAAACATTCAAAGCTTGAACCACTTTTACAACGCAGACCTACGGTACTTTAAGATGCTGGTGGTCCTCTTAGTTAGTATATGGTTCAAGCTGGGATGCGAAATAATATCCTCTCCCCCCCTAACAATGAATCATACATTCCTCTGCTTGGGCGACAGCTAAGGCTAAGGCTTTTCACTTTGAAAACAAGAAGCTCTGATATTCAGATTTGCGACACTGCAATGTGAACAACATTCGTTTAAAAACTCGCCACTAACCTTCACAGCTGTCTACCGGATCCAGTTCTCCTCTGTTCACCGTCCAACATCGTTCCAGTCTCCATCCGAAGACATTTGTCAGTGTTTTGAACTGTCGATAAGCGAATGAAAGAATCACCTAAAAACTAACTGGCAATTCTATGCGACACGTCGTATATGACGGTAGAAAAAATTGAAATTATTATTTATTCGCAGTCTCCTGCCATGAAACCTATGTTAGGCCTCGGACAGAGTTCACGCGATTTGATCGTCGCGATTCAATCGCCGCGGTTTCCATTCATTTTTATTTTACATTTAGAATTTTCGAGCTGGAGAAGTATCACAACCGAAATGCAAGCTGATCGGCATGCAATGAACTGTAACAGTTGTCTTGTAGCGATTAAATCGCGACGATCAAATCGCGTGAACCCTGTCCGAGGCCTTAGTCAGTACTAGACATCGTCCACAAAGCCGTTTTTTGAAGTACAAACGCTGACTCAAGAAGCACAGCATTCTGCAGACCGAGGGCGTACAGCAAAATCGGAACCATTCCATAGCCTTTACAGAAGTCAGCTTGGCTGCGTGAGACTTTTCGGAGGCTCAATGCGGAACATTCGGAAAGCATCTTAAAAAACCTTCGGAGATATTTCTTTCGAACAAATATCCGCCACTCTCCTTCCTCGAACAATTTTTTTGGGATTGTCAGCGGCAGCCTTAACAGTTTACTAACACTTCAAAGGCCAAAGAAAATACTAAATCAACATCTGTTCAGAGAAAATCATGGGTTCATTGCATCAGACGCTCCGTCAATCATAAACAAAACGGAGAAAGCGTTCTGCAAAGATGGCTGGAACCGTCATTCCAAAGAGTTGATTTCCCAAAAGTCTCTTCAGTCCACTCTGGCAAATTTGAAGATAAACCAGAGATGTATCAGGTTGTCCCATAAGTTCCGTCCGTTTTGATTTTCAATAGCAATAAATCATGGACTTCTTGTTTTTAGATGGGTATCAAAATACCGATCGATAGAGCAAAGCAAGCTCTATAAAATGGCTATTTCGCTTTTGCAACAACTCTGATTCATCTCGAGCTTCCAGACGAAAACTAAAAAGATTCAATTGCCCGAAAAAATCGAGAAAAAATCATAACTTTGTTCAAAAAAATCCTACAAAAATTCTAAGTTGCTCGTATGAGCACTATCGATCTAATGCTAAGACCTTTGTAGACGCCATTGCCGTAATTTTTTTACTTGGTTAAAAAAAAGGAAACGAAGATTTTTATGTTTTTGCTGAAGCGATGCTGTGCTGTTCCTACATATTTACTTGCATACTATAGCCTGTAGAAGTACAAAAATAAATTTTCAGCTCTTTACAGGCACTAGTATTCGAGAAATATGGATTTTAGCATAAGGTACCCAACTAAGGCAAGCTTTCGATATTTCTCGAGAACCAAAGCTTGTAAGTAGCTGAAAATTTACATTTGTATTTCTATGAGCTAGTAGTATACAACTATCTATGTAGGGACATCACAACACCACTTTGGCAAGAGCATGAAGATCTTCGTTTTCTTGATTTCTAGACGAGAAAAAAATATGGCAATGGCGTATATAAATGTGTTATAACAGCGTTCACGCGAGCAAGTTAGAATTTTTGTAGGATTTTTTCAAGGAATTATGATTTTTTCTCGATTTTCCGGGCACATGAATCTTTTCAGTTTTCGGTTTCAAACTCGATGCTCGATGTAATGAAAGCTTGTGCGAATGCAAGACAGCCTTCTTGTAGAGCTTGCTTTGCTCTATCGAACAGTACCTTGCAACCTATTCGGAAGCAAGAAGTGTATGACTTATTGCGGCGAAATTCAAAACGGACGGAACTTGTGGGACCACCTGATAGAAATAAGACATCTACGACTTCCAATCACCAGATAGAAGTTCTCCAGTTCAGTCAGAATCGTCAGTCCTGATGTGCACCTACAGTTAGGATTTTGAAGACACTACTGTTTTTTTCTAGAAGACGAATTATCACGTTCCTATCAGGACAAGAATTGTAACTCCTTTGAGTTCAAAGTATTCGTTAAATTTGATATATCTTTAAAGAGAAATCAGTGCATGCTAACAAGCTTTGGTTGGAAAATTGATGTTGGTTTATCAAGGGATGCAAGCTGATAAAAGGAATGTTTTCTACCAATGCTATAAACCCCTAAACTTAATTTTTATCGTAATTTTGCGACATGCAAACTCTTTTGTCTACTAGGATCTTGCTGATTGGATGTATCTGCAGATAGTTACCATTTCCAAGCTTTCTACTCTACATACCTCTGAACTTCATTCCATTACTATATAGTAAAGCCGAACATTTGTTAGACGCCAAAAGCTATTTACTACTATGCGAAAGTTTGCCAAAACATTTTGGACAGAATTTTTAGTATTTTTCGATGCGAGACTTGATTTGGCCTAATAGTTTCAAATAATTGTCCCCGAGGAGCCGTGCTGATGTGCCATAATTTCAAAATTTTATCTCCCTGCAACTCAATGTTAAAGAACTTATATCAGGCTATCTTACCTCCGGGTACAAGTTGAACCTCTTCAGAGTGTTGATAGTGTGTCCATACTCAGTCACATTATCATGGGTGATTTCCTGCAGGCCGCTGATGAAGGAAGGTGCATTGATGATGGTTTTGTAGTACGAATAGTACAGACCCTAAAAAACAACATATCTGGTTTTTTGTACTCTTAATACATAAGAAATATGCTCCCAGATAATCCCGGTGTATATATCGTGAGCCTGTTTTGTAAACATCATTGACGCTATTCGAGCGAGTTTTCGGGGGGGGGGGGGGGGAGAGTGAAGTGATCGTGCTGAGGCTCGCCTATTATGCACTAATACTCTTCAGCGCGATTGATTGTTGTCGATTTTCGCGAGTTTTTACGGCACTTCGTCCAAATCGAGCGACTTTTCCGCGCAGGCTGGATTTAGCCTGGTGCTGGCTTCTGAAACTTCTGGCTTTTCATGTGCTATCGGATGTGCTATCGATCCGCCCTCTATCGGCGGGAAGAGATGTGGGATATCATCGAAGAGATGCGAATCGTATTTTCGACCACAGCCCCGATTATCAGTGATGAACGTCCGTGCGCCGCGCGTCCGTGTGCCTGGCTGGCTAGTTCCCAAGATCTCGCCAAATGCGCGATTTTGCGGCCAATCGCTGCCTGGATCCGTTCAGAGGGCCTTTTCTTCGTGAAATTACACCTGAGAGTTCAAACGTATTGTCTCCTTTTATTCTTCGACTCAACCAGCTCTTGCAAATAATGCCATTCCTGTGATATTTGTGTTTTCTGGGATTCTTATGATCCCGCTAGTCCTTGGAGCGCGGAAACTACCGTCCGCACAATAATGATGATGTTTTTGACAGTACAAGTCAAGTTTGTCAGTTTTGCGGATCCTCTTTCAGTCAGAGTGAAAAAAAAAACCCATTTACTTTGAGCGCAAAGCAAAATGAGGAGATACGGTGCAAACCGAGTTATCTGTATATGGAAGATTACGCGCTCCACGGACAACGGAAACCACGCGATAGTACGGTCAAGCTCTTGCTTTTGAATTGGCTATGCTTGGCAGTTCCTCCATCTGCGTGCCCAAAGTATTCCTGTATTTCCTGTATTCTCTATAATTTCGTGTGAATTCCTTGGTTCTCGTAATTTCTACGACTCCTGCATCCACGTAATCCCTAGAGCGCGGAAGCTATCGCCTGGATTACACTAATGACTGCAGTAGTAAATACAATTTTTGAACCCTTTTCTCATATTCACAGCCAACAAAGGCTTTATTTTAACAGTAGATCAAATGCGGAAATTTAATGACATACTTCATCATTGGAAATTTGTATTGCGCAGGCAAAAGATTTGGCGCTTTACGCTGACAATCAGGTGCATTAGGTTGCAAGTTTGTTACAACGCATCTGGAGGGAATAATTTTTACATCTGTCTCAAAAAATTTTCTCCCTTTTCAGATTTTTAAATTATGTAAAGGATCGTCTGATATAGGAGAACTTCAGTAATTCTCCTAAAAAATGGCAAGTTATATAAAACACTAAAAAAACATGCACTTTCAATCATAGCTGATATTCGCCACTGCTCTTATGAAGGAATCATATATGCACGTCTTTGACTTTCAGATCCATATCAGATATATACAGTTTACTTTTAACGAATTTCCATTTTCGTTAGCAAAAAGCTTGACTCTCAAATTGCCTTCGTAATAGCACTGACGCTCCCGGAAATCCATAAAAAACGAGAAATATACTATAGTCGGACTCTTGCTACTGAATTGGCTCCGCCTTGCACGTTCTGCACCCAACTGCGTGACTCTTCTAGTAAAGTGCGTTTTCCCGTCAAACATCGCCACCGCGCCATTCCGCCCAATTGTCGTTCCTTTTGAACACAGTTTTCTCCTCTCTTTTCCTCAGCCCTTTGTTTACATTTGCTCCCTTCCTTATGGAAAGGGCAAACCTGCCCAAGACTGCTTGAACTTGCAAAGCCCATTCTCCCATTTTGCTCTAGCATAGACTGCAAGATCGGCAAATCCGCAATATCCCACATATCGCAGTCGGGCGCTGCATTTGCAATCCAGACAAAAACTTGCTATCTGGGACGGACGCTCTGTCACCGTACAAGGCCATCCGGTTTTGTTGTGCTGAACCTTCCGACACTTCGAACAAGTATTGCCGTTCTATTTCCATGCATGGAAACAATGGCTGGCAATTTTCAAGCATTGTAAAGCCCATACAGGTTTTTTTCTTCGATAACGCCTTCGCTTTCTATTGACGCATTGAACTCAATGTAAAAAAGTCGTGTTCTATTTGCGTTCCTATTCTCATGATTACCACTTTTGCATCATTCTATGTATGTACCACATAAAACTGATGGCACTGTTGGCCCTTGGGGTTATTACTGCCATTTGTTCATTGGTATCCATACTTTTCCAACATTTTGCTCCTCCGTCCCTAGATACTGCCTTCTACCATTTTTATATAGGACGCGCTATAGCTCAACCTAGATAGACCCCTTTGCGCATATGCTCTCAAGTTCCAATCCAAAGAGCCTATCGTCCTTTAGCTGGCTATTCCAGAGAAATCATAAAGCTGCCTAAATGGTCTGAATAATCCCAAGTCCTAAAATCAGCTAATTTTGACTCTGAGAAATTTAATCAGCAATTTTCGATAGTTGAAACCATGTATTTCAAATAGCTTATCAAAGTGGGAAGTACATTGTAAAGCGAACTAAGCGCATTTTGAAAGTTTTCAAGATCCCATAAGATTATAATTATTTTTTACAATCTTTAGTCAGAATATCACTTTCAAAATAACTTTACACGAGACGACAAGATCAAGTTTATGTGAAATCACTGCAGCCAAGGTGTCTCCTGCACTTTCCTTCTTTAACCCTTTAAGCAAGCAGTAACTGAATCTACTGTAGCCATAACGTCAATTCACTTATATTTGATGTTCAGCGGCTATAATTGGCACTTGCCGTTCGCTAACAGGTGAAGTTTACGACCATATAAATCAAGTGTCATATGCGCACTTCTTATTCTAGAATTAGGGTAGCGTCCTGACAAGATTCTTATCTTTACTAAAACTTTAAATTTCTAGTGTTTTGTAGGGTCGCTCATTCTCTGATAAAACTGCGCTCCGGCTATGTCCCTCGTGATATTAAAATCGATATATCAATACTTGTTGTAATTGGTGCAATTGAATCCCTCCCAATATATTATACGTGTGTAAAGCGTTTTTCTCTCCGAGACGTCGAGAATGCTTCCTTTGAAACGTTTTCGCGAAAATGCAAGAAAAAAACGGCCACTTCAAAAGCGGGCGAAACTCTTGAAATTGATATTATTCACAAAACTATGTGAACATGAACATTCGTTCCTCCAGAATCTTCTTTCTTTCACAAATGGGACCTGATTACACTTGACTGTTCATTTACAAAGTTGAACCTGAACATATCTTTGGTTTTCCCTAGAGGCGTATTTTGATTAGAGGAATCTTCAGTTTACGCTGGCAAACCATTTTATTTCTTGATACCTGCATTTGAAAATTTGCGCCGTTGAAGCGAGAGATTGTGAAAATTTGGGCAACAGAGTTAGTTGACGCTGAGTTTATTTCGTGCTTTTTCTTGTAAATATTGCACAAATCTACAGAATTTATCATTCAATTTGTCGTGATAGAATTTCATTTGATTTCTTTCCTATCCTTTTTTCTCCTAGGCTCGTTTCCATTTTTCTTGCATTTCTCTCGTCTCAAGACACAGCATTGCCGAAAAAATCTTTTTACCGTCCACATTGGTTCACTTTTTGGAACAAAGAATGTAGATGACGTTCGATACTTTGATACTATTATACCACCACTATCTGCCACTGACTCACCATTTCAGTCCTGTACGTCATTTCCCTTTCAAAATCAGCCAAGTGCGAAAAGTGCCGATCATTCTCGAACAGTGTTGACAAATGCCTGGTGTTCAATACGGAAAAGGAGATTCCTGAAAGCAAAGCCATGATTTCCCTCGTTGACTCATCAGAATTCTATTGAAAAGCGTGTAAAGACGAAATTCGTCTGTGTAGTGCACATGACCGAATTTTTTTCAGTGTAATTCATGTGGAACAGTTCACGATTTGACTGTTCCCAGTTCATTCACGACGATAACCGTCTAGATCCAAATTTGCGCCTCGCTGATGTTTGCGCATTCGTCGGTGTATGTGTTTGTTCAATGTTTGTTCTACATTCATAATCTTCACACATCGCTCTCATCGAATTTCTCACAGTCGCTCATTTGGCATTGAAGAAAATAAGCTTGCAATGATGTCGGTACTGCCCATCACAAACTGAGAAAATTTTTCAGTAAACTTCTTGTTTGTTTATTGCTTGTATGTCTTGCGTTGCGTTCTCTTTGGTCTCCATGGATCTTGCACATTCCAAAACTTCAAAAATCACATTTCTTTCATTTTCAAGAAACTGGTTTGATCTAATGTTTTTTGTATAAAGTAAATCACGCGCTCAAAGCAAAATTTGTTAGCATGCAATGGCAAAGTGTTCTATAGAAACCCTTAAATCGTTTCCTTGTGAATACTGGTTGCTAAAATGCCCGAGCAGTAAACAAAACTCAATCTTACACTCAATTCTCCAGGCTAATATTTTTCTGGCTCAAAAATCGCCCCCTTGGTGTCTCTACAAGTATTTACAACCTTTATATTTTACTGATAAATTTTCTAGCTGATTCTTTGATGTACAGGGTGCCCCAAAAAAATGTATCGAACGTTTGATCGTTAATATCTCTCTTCCCAAGAAGTCTTTTGCCTTGCTTCAGGTACCGTTCTGTAGAGCTGGCTTCAACTTAGATTTGCATTATAGAACGAATCATCCATCTCTCTTCATTACTGTAGGACTACGGTAAAAACTTGAAACATATGGTGTCAATGTGGAAAAAGCTGCCGTTTCAAAAATTTTCAAAAAAATGTGAAAACTTGTGTACTGGGGTTTTTATGGACGCTGAAATCAATACTCAACTATTCACAAGATTATAAAGCTTTCTAAAGGGTGTAATCGCACTTTTTAGGAACATTGAAAAAAAGGCCGCTACCTCTCACCTGGCATAACTCTTCAATGAAGCATCATAATAAATTAAGAACTTTACAGTTATAATCAGCAACTCTATTTAGCCTAGTGTAAAAGTTTTCAGGCTGTTTTGTTTCCTTTCTGGGGCAAAATATGGCCTTTCATTGCTTAAAACCCTTTTTGAAGTTTCTACCGTAATCCTACAGTAATGAAGAGGGATGAGTGATTCGTTCTATAATGCAAATCTAAGTTGAAGCCAGCTCTACAGATTGGTACCTGAAGCAAGGGAAAAGACTTCTTTAGAAGAGAGATATTAATGATCAAACGTTCGATACATTTTTTTGGGACACCCTGTATTTTTGAAAAACCAAACAATTTTCTAGCACATTTTGGTGCAAGCTTTGTGGATCTAATAGAATGCTTACATCAAGAGTAAAATTTTCCAAAGTAAGTATATCTCTTCAAAAGGTACTGCCTTTATTTGCAAAACTGACTTAGACTTCACCGATGCTGATTTTAAGACCTGGTTTAAAATAATCGGCAAAAACTCCTCATTTATTCAGCATATCTCTCTCTCAAAAAATTTGCTTGTGTAAACGCTGATTGTTATTTACACAAGTTTTGCATGATCGATCATTCACTTGACATACTTACCGCTAAAAAACTCTTTAGGCTTTGTTTCCGTGTTCTGAATTTCGATCACAATCTGAACCTTGGACCTTGCTAATTTTTCTTTTTCTAGTTTGCCACATGAACTAATCATATTCGCTTAGTACGCCATCAACTCAGTGAATAAGTAAATTATTATCCTATTCTCACCTTTTGAATTATGTTTTTAAGTGAGAAAGGTGAGGTCGGCGGCTGACCGTTCTAGTCTATTTGCGGAAAAAAAAGCTAAGCTTGTAATAATCTTATTATCATGAGCGCATTATCATGCAAAATATTCGAGCACGATAAAAGACCAACTATCATTTCGTTGACGATGTCTTTTTTTGGAATTGTTACTTCCTAGTTCAAAAAGACCATATTTTTCACAGAGATAAAGTTTTACTGTCTATAATCTTCAAACAAATACGATTCCACTTGGATAAGGGTTTATTAGCTACTTATGCACCTGCACTTGCCGAGTGAAGTCTTTTAACTGAAATGTTCCCTCTAAGATTTTGCTGATAGAGTACATTCGATTCAAAGACTGTTTTTGTCAAAAATGGGGTAATCCGCTCGACTGCCCCAATTTCACAAAATTCTTATTTGTTTTTTGTACTCTTCTCATCCTTTCGAAAATTCTACTTTTTTAAGGTTGCATCACTTAGTCTTTTCTTAGGCTCGTTGGCCCTCAAAAAAGAGCCTAATTCCTTGGACGAAATGAGATTTAACAGTCAATCGAGTATGCATTTCCTTTTGCAAAGAATCAGGTAGTTGTTGACTTTCTAAGCAGATAAATATATAAATATGTGAAATTTTCAATTTTGAACAGAATGTTTGAGACTTTCGCGATTTGCTTTCTCGCAAGAACTCCCGGAACATGTGAGTGTTTGGTGGAAGTCATAAAAATCGCTGTTGGATCTCTGTGGGTGCTTAACCGCGCAAAAAACGCTCGGCACATCGTTGTCGAGACCATGAGCGATGGATATCCATCCCATCACGGTCTCGATAGTGGTCGTAACCAGTTCGTCTGTTCGTCGATTACGCAATACATATATGCAGGCAGTGCGGAAGCACGGAAGAAACCCGCACACATATGCAGGGTTGAAGGAGGGGGGGGGGGGGAGGCGGTGGCGCGAAAAAACAGCTGAGCGCAGTTGGTGACAAGAGACCAGTTCCGATTCCGTATCTACAGTGCACACACCGCGTGGCAGGGGTTCCTCGCTTTTACTTCGAAGCCAGTTCTCACCCTCTTACCGGCTCAAACGCTCTCAGTTAATGTGATCGGCTGCGCTACTCCTGCAGCACTTCCGCAGTTCTTTTCGCTTCTTTTTCAATCGCGACCTCTGCCCTAATCGGGTGCGAACGCTCCCGACACGGATTCATGAAAGGTGGTCGCCGTGACTTCCTTTTGCAATTCATGGGGTCAGAATGGCAAAAAGGGGCGCAGTTGGTTGCAGTGTCGCCTTCAAATAATCGTCTGCACACTTTATATTTGCGCTAAACCAGCTGATGTAGATCTCTTACGCATTTAGTGAGTTATTACGTTGGCTAAAAAATAATTTCGTTTTGACCTGTAAATTTTTGTAAAAATTTTTCTTGTTGTTTTCTATCTACGACTTCTTGTAGGAAAGCAGCTTAAAGCCTCCTCTATTAAATAACAATTATTCAGGATTCTCTATCATCAGAAAAGACATTTATGCCTCAACATGGCTAGATTTCTAAAAGCTCAATTCTTTAATTTCCCAAGCTTCGTTTACACGCTTTAATGGATGTGGAAAACAGCAGCTTGGTATTTGGATAAAGAGGAGTTCCCCTCCTGATCAAAAATAAAAGTGTGATACGCCACTTTGAAAATCTTTTGTCAAAAAAAAAAACAAATTTTCTCATACTTGCGCACTATAAAAAAATGGGGTTTCTCTTCGCTTTTTTTCTTGAAAGATAAATTCTACTCAAACAGAATTTATACACCAGCTTCCATTGAAGTGCTATTTCCAGTGATACCAAACAATGGATAAAAATTTGTCTGCAGCATTTGTAAGAGCCGCAAAAGCGACCGGACTTATTTATTAGGCAACCTAACATTATTGAATCTATCTCTAATGCGTATTTTGAACCCATGATCTCTGCTGATCATTTCCGCTGAAAAAAGTAGCTTTGTCTTAGTTCCCTGATTTGCTTTGTAATCTTGAGTTCAAACAGTTTCGTTGAGGCAGTAAATATAGCATGGTAGAAAAACACTGCCGCCTCCAAAGTGCACAATCTGAACAAAACACAAAAAGAAAAAAGTCGAGTGTTGAGGTGGAAGTTTGAGTCTTGTTTAAACAAATGATAGCAGTTTCCGAGAGCACTGTAGTAAAAAAAGTGTATTTACAAATAAGCTCCACTTATACACCTATTTAGGGATAACAAAAAGCCTTCTGAAGTTGATCATAGATAAAGAGATTTTTGAAAAAAGAATACTTTTTGAAATTACCTGGGATGATTATTATTTTGCACTATACCGAAAAGATTACAAGAACCTCGCGCAGATTGATGATAACCTATATGCAGTACTCTGTCATACTTTAATGAAATATTGTTTTCGATGTATGGCTCGGCCTAACTGGTCACCTTTGACAAGAGGTGTTACTCTAACAATTAGTGTTCCTATCTTGATGACCAAAGATGAACTTGAAATTTTACATACGAACTCTCGAAATGATTTGGTGCTCAAGTTTGAGAAGTAGAAGGGAGAAGTGGAAGAAGTTTCAAAAACGACCATAGATTTTGCGCCCAACATTCGCACCTATTTTACATCTAACTCGCACCTTGTCCGAGCCTCCTCGGTGGTCCTCAATTGGTGAACAACTCTTTTTAAATAAAATGTGAAAGTATTTTGGTGACAAAGTTCTCCAAAAATAACGCTGTACTTTCAAAAGTTTGTCCTTGGGGGCAGTTGAGTTTATTTTTAGACTAATTCTTCATCACCACATGTATCAAGTTGATCCATGTCTTGCCCCAAAATGATGAAAAATTTGAAATTTTGTTCGGTTGAAAAATTTGTTCAGCTTGACATTTTTCGGAGAAAAAAGATTATGTCTTATTAAGAGGTCGACATAGTATTGAGATACAAGCTGCCAAATCAATAACAAAAATCGTTTTTTCTCGAGAATTAGTTGAAAAAGCCTGAAAGTCTAGTTTATATCTCAGATTATTGTTTTGGGATTTGTTCATGATGCAAGCTTTTGATAGATATGGCCACATATAATTATGATTTCCAAATTTATTTTTATTTTTTGA